GCTATTTTTTCACAAAAATCTATGATTTATTTAACATGATAGAAAATGCATATTTTATATCTTCTTACTATCCATATTTTGGAGTATAAACATTCAATGAAAGGGGTAGGGATTACATGAGGAACATAAAGAGTGCTCTCATATTTATATAACCTCTTGTACTCAAAACATACCATTTATTAGCTGTCGTTTACAAGCAAAAGATCTATCAACTACCTGCTGCATGCCCACAAAACATGAAAATCTGGCTCATATATATATGTTATTCTATGGTCCAGTTCTATGGATATTGGTGTCTTTCTTTGCTTTGAATTGGTAAAACATCCCTTTGGAACATTCTTGATCTTCAGGCATGGTGTGAAATGGTTGGCTTTTGGCTTGACCATTGTCTGATCCATCAGCCATTACGGTAGCCTATCTTTCCTGGCAAAACTGTTCCAAGTGTTTGGATTTAAAATCTTCCATTTTCCATATTGCACATCTGTTTCTGTGTCAACAATATTCCACCAAACAGAACAGTGATAATATTTCATCTTTGTTCTTCAAAATGGTGACCAACCTCAAAAAAGTCAGTCTGTGCAATCTTCCTAGTTTGCTCTTTGAGGAGTCACTGTCTTTACTGAAATTTTACTTCAAACAGCATATTCAAGATTAAGAATTCTGTTTCATTGCCATAATTCAGGTTGAACACTTCTTAACTAAAGTAACATGCAACATAATCACAGTTACATTTTCAACTCCCCTTCACTGGATGCAAGATAAACACATCACAATGAAGTAAGCTACTGGGCTGAGGACCAGTTCAGCTGACACCACATGATGACAATTTCTCATTGGCTAAAATTTGGTGGGACTTGATGTTTGGCTTTCCACTAGTTCTAAACGCAGCTCTCAAAACAATGTCCCCTACTGTGGCTATGAAAGTTTTTGAGGGGTCGGCTGTTTCTCAAACAGCATATTAAAGTGGCGTGAGGCTGTTAAAAACTTCCACCTCTAGGTCAGGTAAATTCTCTTTTCACAGATAGAGTACCTCACTTAGACTCTTGAATGTGCACTGTCTTCTCACAGAAGAGACCCAGGGATGGGTTAATAGTACTTTCATGAACTGCCTGCAATAATTAGCTTGAAAAGAATATTGTAATTATAGTTGGTGCATCAAGTTATGGAAGNACCGGTTCTCACGGTCTCTTCGCTTGCAGATTTCTTATATTTTTTCTTCTACCCTGAAGATGGAGGCGATACGTTCCTCCGAAACGTCGGTTAACACCACATATACACGGTGCCAAATCCCAGAAGACTGCTTTCTTCATAGACACCGCCGTGAAAGCCTCAAATCTTACAAATGTTAAGAACTTTACAGCGCCCATGATTGGTTTTTGTCAGCACGAATCATAAACATTCTATCATGGTTACAATGTTAATATTCTTCATTCTCTCCAGTGTTGAAACAAAATGTTGCTTACAGAACAATAAAAACAAATATGGACACAAACATTTACATTCAAGCATTTTTCAGGCTGAAACATGCTAAACTTAATTTTTTATATCTACACACACACACACACACAGCCCTCCTACCTAATTTTCCTCATGGCACAAGTCCCGTTCCACAATACTGTTTACAACATTCCACAACATCTCACCTGACACCTGTGGCCCCATTTCCCCACCTGCTTGCTGTTGCTGTTGTGTAGCTGTGATGACACTTTTTCCAACCCATGGTTCCAGAGCATGAGAGAATTCATTACGATAATTGGTACGAATCTGACTTGACTGAACAGGCCTGAAAACACAAACATTCAATTAGTCAAAGAGAACATTTTGTTTAGAATACGGTAATATTTACATAAAAACAAAGAGTTCTGTGAGGAACCTATAACCCCTGGTTTTCTTCAAATGCTTCAATGTGTATTGAGAGGGCAGCACACATATGAATTAACAATCATATAACTAATTATGCTTTTCATGCTTAATTCTCATTAGCAGACATTTTCATTATAAATTCTGCAGAATTTCCAAAGATCTACAAGTATGGAAACTCTCACAACCCTACATTAAAATCCACTCCCCCATTTACCTTCATGGCATAGTGCTTAATTAGCTGAGCACAGGGACAACTTTACTTTCTACCTTTTATATTAAGCGATGATACTGTCATTCCTTCTGACAGGTTCACATTGATCAAACTGATACTAACAGTAGTAGGAATGGGGGAATGAGGGCAGGCTCTAGTGTCATGAGGTTCACATCAATTTTCATACAATCTGTTAATGTTTGATAGTTTTGTTCACAGTACATAAGTATGTAATAAATACCGATCCAATGCAAACATGTAGTTTTTTTATGTGTGATTTATGCTATTCCAATCCATATTACAGCCATACCTCAGACTTACAGCTTAAATGTGCTCCTAAATGTGCATTGTAAGCAAAAAAATAATCATATGTCAAGTTCATTATAACATAGGAAGTATAGGGTCATGCTCATGGAGCTCAAGGTTCAGACCCATTTATCAATATTTTAGCCCCTACCATGCTACAATTTTATTGCTTCTATTACAAAATCAATAAAAGGTCATCAACTAACATAGACTCATCTGTTTGTGACTAGATTTGGGGTTTGGACTTGAATTGAATTTACTGAATGATTATGACAAATGACTGCAACACTATCGCTAATCTACACTCTATAATTCACTACAGCACGCATAAGTCTTTTCAGTAAGTGCTGTCTCCAATGGTCGCTGCCAGCAGCTTCTAACGATGGAGATTCCTCTGCTTCCTTGCTCACAGCCAACCAACAACTGTGAGTGCTGACTCATGATTAGGGACCATATTTTAATGCAGATGCATGTTGCTTTCTTGCAACCAGAAAGTATGCGCGTTTGGATATATGTATGAATTACTTAATTTCTTAAATTTTGGACATGGTTTGATGGTGCACATAAATGCATATTTTGCCTGTTTTATGAATAAGCATCATATTTTCGAAGATCTCTATTTATACTGCATATTTCCTTTTTAAAATGTTTATCATATACATTTTTTAATTTTCAATTTTTCAATCATGGTCATGTGTATACAAGTTTTCTTTTCCATATTAGAATATGTTGCATATTTCACTCAACATTTCATCATGATTCATGTTTCTGATGCAATACCAAGGATGGGACTTCCCTGATCCCTCTAATCGTAACTTGCCTCATCTGCGTACCATCAAAGTGGCCGCGAAGAGATTAGTTGGAAGTAGTATGTAGTCGCTATCAACATAATACTATTCAACTGATAAGGGACTTCACTTAGTTATTTCCAAAGTCTCCATGAGGTTCATTACACTTCTTCATTTGAAGCTGGGGGCCATTCACATTAATGGTGACTAGTCTGTAGTTAAGTTTGTTTAGCTTTCTGTAGTCATGTCCATGATGTGTATGTACTGACCGTCTTCTAGTGCACACAATCTCACTTGTCACTTCACTACATGTTTCGGCATCACTGTGCCATCCTCAGGTGTGTTATTTACGTTAAACTATTGCACTGCTCGCCTGAGTCAACTTCACTACAGCTTACTTCAGGATGTATGGAGTAACTGGGTCTCTCTTGGGCAGTCCTGCAGTGATGTCCAGTCTGGTGACTGTAACTGATGCTTCTGTATCGATGGTCACAAGGCATTGTTTATCACCACCTCTTGGCTCTAGTGTTGAACATGAAGCGAGGGAGGAAGAATGGATATAGTGATATTCTTCCCCTCCCACTGGCTCCTTCTTATATGGTCTGTTCAAAAAGTTTCAGAACTATTTTTTATAATTCTTTCAGACATGCCTGCAACTGAGGGAGCCCTAGCACCTTCAAAGTGCTCCTCTCCTGCATCAATGCACTGCTCCCACTACCGTTGCCACTTCTGGAAACAGTCCTGGTACGGTGTTTTCGGGACTGTGCATAGGTCAGTCTGTGAATTTTTCATAATCTCTTGAATTGTTTGAAATTGTTATCCTTTGAAAGTGGATTTCGGTTTGAGAAATAAGAAAAAGTCTGCCACAGCCAGGTCAGGTGAGTAGGGTGCCTTAGGAAGCACAGCTCTGTTCGTGTTGGCCAAAAATGTGGGATGAAAACCTTTCATGGCTCCAGTTTGCCTTTAATTCTGCTCGCCATGAATCCCCCAAGGCGATCCCCTTCAGTCTCATTTTTTCTTTACACCGAACTCACCACCGTCTAACCTGTGGTCCATCAAGGATTTACTTCCTGATCATCTGGATGGACTTTCCATTCAGGAGCGATGGGAGGCTGTGAGGAGAAATCTCCAGTTTGCTCATGTGGCAGTCCGGAGGAATTACGGTCGACGTCAGTAATCAGCAGCAGCCCCCTTTGACCTAGTGTCACCCCCCGCGCCCCCAGTGGTGAATTTTGGAGGGGAAGGATGTAAGACCCCGTGTCTGCGTTACGTCAGAGGGCGTCCCCCCCTTTCTACTACCTTCCCCCTTCCACTGTTCCAATTCCTAGTTCCCGACAGCTCAGGTCCAACGAGAGTGTTCCATTCTGTTGTCGGAGCTTGAACTGTTCAGTCGATTCACTTTTCCTGGTCTGTACAATTTTGATTGGCTGATTGCCGGAGGCCTATTACCTCCAGGGACTTACATTGTATTCGCATTTAGTACTTAATATATATATTGTCATTTGATTGTCATTTGTTATAGTGTCTTTGTGTTGGTACGTCCTACCCAAAAACCAAATTTCGGTCTTCAAGACCTTTTCATGTTTCACAAGGTACAACATCAATTTCTGTCAACACTGAATTGAAATGATTGAATTTCCTGGATAAAGGTCCTTCTAACTACACACACTACAATGAAACTGTCTGAAAATATGGCACGTTAATCCTACCTAGGTGGTTGACTAAGCTGGGAAACAGCAGCTAAGCGATCCATCATTGGGTAAGCCAGATCCAGGAACTGATACTTATTAGCTGCAGAGGAGAATGATGAGCAGAGAAGCAGGTGAAGCTGAAGAAGTGGCAGAACCGTACCCAAGTTGACCAGCTGACCTCGAAACTGACGCTCCTTTGTCTCAAACTGCCTGCAAAAATACAAAACTAATATAAATTTTTCTTTACTGTAGAATTTTTCAGCTGAGTCTAACTAAACTCAAAAATACTGACAGAACTACAACCAAAACATACTTCCACTTTAAGTACTCTTGAATCAGGTTGCACAATGAATTAAAGAAGTTTAACAAATACAGTGTAACTGTGAAAGAACAACCATGCCTTATAAAAAGAACATTTCTGCAACAGAAATCAATGGGACCATGAGTTTCTTAATCTTACTTACTTACTTACTTACGGAGCTGAGCCCTTCTTGAGAAGCCAAATCTGCAGCTACTCAAGAATTTCCCAGAATTTATGGAACATGAAGGTTCATTACCATGTTCACAAGAGCCCTCCACTGGTCCTTATCCTGAGCCAGATCTATCCAATCCATACCATCCCATCCTATCTCTCTAAGATCCATTCTAATATTGTCCACCCACCTACACCTTGGTCTTCCCTGTGGTCTCTTTCCTTCTGGCTTTCCCACCAATACCCTATATGCATTCCTCGTCTCCCCCATTCGTGCTACATGACCTGTCCACCTCATCCTCCTTGACTTGATCATTCTAATTATACTCGCAGAAGAGTACAAGTTATGAAGCTCCTCATTATGCAGTCTTCTCCAACCTCCTGTCACTTCATCTCTCTTCGGTCCAAATATTCTCCTCAACACCCTGTTTTCAAACACCCTCAGTCTATGTTCCTCCCTTAATGTCAGAGACCAAGTTTCACACCCATACAGAACCACAGGCAAAATTATAATCCTGTATATTCTAATTTTTATGTTTTTGGACAGCAGACGAGAAGACAAAAGGTTCTGGACTGAATGGTAGCAAGCATTACCAGAGTCCAACCTCCTCTTAATTCCCTTATCAACATGGAAAAATCTCACACTGGACTGAGGGCTTTTTCTGACACTTTTCATCATTATGCATGAATTCTAACCAGCTGCAATTTCCCTCTCCTCCCCCATTTTTTTTTCTATGCCAAATGCACTTGGAGTGTCATTTCCAAAGATATTTATAGATGGCGATCTGTATAGAGGAATAAATGACTTTAAGAGGGGTTAACAACCTAGAAGTAACTTAATGAAGGATGACAATGGTGATCTACTTGCAGATTCCCACAACATTTTGAATAGGTGGAAAAACTACTTTTCTCAGTTGTTGAATGTACATAGGGTCAGTGATGTTATGCAGATAGAAATACATACAGCTGAGCTGTTAGTACCTGATCCTAGTCCTTTCGAGATTGAAATTCCTATTGCAATATTGAAAATGTATAAATCGCCAGGTATTGATCAAATTCTGGCAAAACTTATTCAAGCAGGAGGTGGAATATTATGTTCTAAGATCCATAAGTTAGGCCGGGCCATTGCTCAAGTGGGTAGTTGCTGGATTCCCACTGCGGCAGCCCAGGTGCAATCCTGGGTCTGGTCAAGTGGGATCTGTGGTGGACAAAGTGGCACTGGGGCAGGCTTTCTCCGAGTACTTCGGTTTCCCCTGCCAATTTTCATTCCACCAATTGATCCACAATTACCCTCACCTATCATCTGGGGCTGTTACAATAAGCCAGAAGTGGCCGCAGAACAAGGGACTTAGTCCCACCCCACTAGCAATAAAAAAAAAGATCCATAAGCTAATTACTTCTATTTGGCATAAGGAAAAATTTCCTGATCAGTTGAAGGGTCTCTTATTGTACCAGTTCACAAGAAGGGTGATAAAACTGACTGTAGTAATTATATGGGGATAGCACTACTTTCAACTTCATCCAGTTAGTCTTCTCTCAAGGTTAAGTCCATACATAGATGAAATTATTGGGCATCATCAGTGTGGGTTTCAATGTAATAGATCAACTACTGATCACATCTTTTCCATTCATCAGATACTGGAGAAAAATGAAAGTACAATGAGACAGTACATCAGCTATTCGTAGACTTCAAGAGAGCCTATGATTCAGTTATGAGGGAAGTAATATTCTGATAGAGTTTGGGGTACCCATGAAACTAGTTAGGCTGATTAAAATGTTTTTAAACAAAAAGTATAGTAAACTCCACATGGGTAAACATCTGTCTGACAATTTTCCTATCCAGAATGGTGTAAAACAATGCTTTATCGCCACTGCTTTTCAACTCTGCTTTAGAATATGCCATTAGGAAGGTCCATGAAAACAAGGTGGGTCTGAAATTAAATGGGACACATCAGCAGTTGATGTATGCTGATAATGTGAATATACTGAGGGTATTTGAGAACAGGGTATTGAGGAGAATAATTGGACTGAAGAGAGATGAAGTGATAGGTTGGAGAAAACTACGTGAGGAGGAGCTTCATAACTTCTAGTCTTCTCCAAGTATAATTAGAATTATCAAGTTAAGGAGGATGAGATGGTAAAGGCATGTAGCACGGATGGGGGAGAAGGGGAATGTATATAGGATATCGGTGGGAAAGCCAGAAAGAAAGAGAACACTGGGAAGACCAATATGTAGGTGGGTGGACAAGATTAAACTGGATCTTAGATAGCATGGGATGGGATGGATTGGATTTATGTGGCTCAGGTTAGGGCCAGTGGAGGGCTTGTCTGAACATGGTAATGAACCTTCAGGTTTCATAAAATGCTGGTAAGTTCTTGAGTAGCCACACAATTGGCTGCTTCTCAGGAAGGTCTCAGCTCCATGAGTGAGTGAGTGATTTATAGAAGGCACTTTGAGTCTCTTCTCTGTCTAGTAAAAGAAAGTTTGCAGTCCAGAATATGAGTAGTGTATGCATGACAAGAATTTATTCACCATTCAGGCAAATGTGTTTAGTGCTATGTGAAGAGCTGCAATTGAAAAACATCTGCCAACTCCCCTTAACATTACATAACTGCTGTAGGGACAATGATATTAGGGCTTCATTTAGCATTATATTATGGCCTGAGTTCAAGCACCCTCCAAATTTCAGCCAATGAGAAATGTCCATTATGTGACATCATGTGAACCTCCCTTCAGTCCAGTAGCTGTTTTTGTTTTGGTATATCATATCATCTGGCTAGTGAACAGCAGCTGAAAATGTTTCTGTGACTGTGCTGTGTGCAGCTGAAGTTAAAAATTGTCCAACCCTATTCACAGTGAAGACAGAGAAATGCTTGGACTTGAATATGAAGTTTAGAGTAACTTCTCCATGAAGTCTGCTGCTTGTCACAGGGCAAACAGGAAGATGCTATGAACAAACTCTTTCAATACTGCCCATATGCTGGTGAGTTTGACCAATCCAGTGTGCTTAAGACTTCCTCCTTCATGACAGAGCTGAAGGAAGACTGCTACACTTGCACAGATGGTTTCACCACTGGCAATTTTTAGCACATCTTCTTGGCCCATTCACTTTGACATGAAAAGGATGAAAACATCTCTGTCTAAGACTCTTATCTGATGTCAAATTTCCAAGCAATGCAGCTTCATTAACAACTGCATCAGTGACCACGTTGGTGTGATAGCCTGTGCCCCTGCCCTGTGGAGATGGGTAACCTGATGCAGAATCTCAATAACAATAAAACGGTCTGATGCATATGAATAAAGATTCTGCAAGGCACTTTGGCAGTCTGTAAGAGGAAAAAATATTGCTGGTGATGATACTTAATAAACAGAACTTGTTACACAGATAAGTTTGGCCACATAAATGCTTTAGAACTATGGAGGTGGTAGGAGAAAACCAATCTTTTGTAGAAGAATGCCCATCCTGTTTAACTGTGAACAAATGACCTGTCAGTATAAACTGTCATGTATTACAGACAGGCAGAAAACAGTGCTGAAAATACTATCAATATGAAAAGGCATATATTTTTCCCTTCACTTGTTTGGCCAGTTGAAGGACAAAGATCATATTTATATGCCAATTTGATTAGGTGAGAGTCTTACTGGAATAGGAATTTTAACAGAAAATCTGCCATCACATAATTTTGTACAGAGAACCCTCTTGAACCACTTTCTGAACAGGTATTCCTAAGAACATAGTTTTTAGAAATCTGTTGCTGTACCTTAATAATTAACACTCACCTTTGCACTTCCATGATCATACTCGCATGTGTCTTAGCTATAGCTTCCTGCATCCCCTGGCAGAAACTGTTGATGGTGTGTTTCTCAGACTCCATGTTTTGTTGCAGCTCATCCAAAAGTGTCTTGAACATAAACAGGCCCTCACGGACTGAATTCTGCAGGTCACACAACGACTGCAAACAATGCCAATGAATAAGCAGGAATTTCTCACACTACAGTTCTAAATGTTACAATGAATCTTCCTCCACAACAAGCTGGGCTTCTTTCCTCCATGCATGATCATGGGATTAATCCTTGCTTTATCATTTCACCCCTCATATATAGGATGTTGTACGGAAAACTGAAACTTAATGCAGCAGTCTAGCAAAGCCTGCAAGTCTGCAGTTTTAATCAAGGATTTATGACCCGAGAAATACTGGCTTCATTTAGATCAAGGTTTGAAATTTTCATTTTTAATCAAACTGACTAAAACAATGGTTTTTTGTCAATGGCCTGGATCAATCCTAGTCTTCTTATATCCTCATCAACAGAAATGGACTGGTTTAGATTTGGTTTGCAAATTTATTACACAAGGGTCGCAGAGAAAGTGAAGCAACATTTTTTTTTTCTTATTCACAATTTATTGTACTAAAACTCCAAATACATCACACTGTTACCTAAACCTATTTTTCAACATAGTTCCCTTCTAAATCTATGCCCTTATACCCCCAAGATACAAGAGCCTGTACGACTTGAAGGAACCACTCTTCAGATCTCTGTCCAATCACCTCTTTACTTCAGAAATGACATCCATCATCGTCCCACCCCCCACCCCACCATTTCCACCATTATGGAAACAGTTTCAACATCAAAGCCCAGGCAAATATTTCTTCATGAACTGCTTACGGTAATTACCACATACCATGCTTCTGTTATCCTACATATGGCATCTAATAGTGTAAAGACAAGATTGTTTCCTTGATTCATACATTTCTGGAGAAGACTTGTTCAACTTGAAGGCTACTATTTTCTGGGAGCAGCAACCAAGCAAAACAACCCTTCTAAGGGCCACTTATTCTTTCACTCTTCTTCCTACTTCTATGGATTCACTAAACTTCAAGCAGGTTTTGTGGAGAAAAAAAAAAGCTCTGTGAAAAGGCATGGAATACAGGATTTAAGACAAAATAACTGTTGGTGGTATTTTTGGATGTATGCTTACTACATCAGCAAGGTGAAAACAAAAGCACAATAGATCATTGAAGGTCGCAGTGTGAGAGCTGGTTTTTATGGCTCACACCTATACTCAAGGTGAAAACAACATATATAAGCAACCAAGACTACTGGCAGATGTGAATGTTAGAGACAGAAGAAGGGAATAAGAGATTATGGTACCTACTTATGTACAGCTAAATACGAACATTTTCATACATGCTATCATCAGAATATATGGCCTTAAGGAAAAATCAGTGACATCATTTCAAACAAACACAGTACTGCAGTAAGGATCTATAAGCAAAATGGTTAACTTATGTAACTATGAGACTAAAGAGCATGAGAGTTTAAACTTAGTTTGAAACCAATGTACAGGCAACGATAAAAACGCCAACCTACCACTAATTAAACATAAGGAACGTATGAAGGATATTGGCTGTGGTTTCCATGATGGCATGTGGGGGCATACTTACCAAAACTGCTCGATCAAGTTTTTTACATCCCTGTGTATATGCAGTGTCGATGTCAACACACTGTAACCTGGCTTCTGCTGGGGTATCCCGGAAACAGTTGACACACAGCATATTCTTTTGTGTGTTGGAGAACATAATGTACTGCTCCCCATGCACTGCACACTGAATTATAAAAACAAAAAATGAAATATCCTTTACAAAAGCACGAAAGCAGGAGAGCATCAAAGATGCAATAACTTGTATTTCTGCTTCGCAGTCTAATTTCACAAATATGCAGAAAATATTCAGCGCTCCATATTTCAGCATGTCTGACCCATGGCTATAAATTTCCAATGTAACTTTCATCACATAAATATTTATGTCAGAAGCTTCCAATTTCAATAAAATGGGTGCACTGCAGGTTTCTGCTGTAACTAACTAACTACATGGAGCTGAGCTCTTCTTGAGCTGCTGTCACTTGTGCAGTTAATCAAGAATTTCCCACCATTTGATGGAACCTGAAAGTTCATTATCATGTTCACAAGAGCCCTCCACTTGCCCCTGTCCTATGCCTGATTAATCCAGTCCATGCCACTCCATTCTATTTAAGATCAACTTTAATATTATCCACCCACCTACATCTAGGTCTTCCTAGTGGGCTCTTTTCTTCCAGCATATCCACCATTATCCTGCATGCACTCCTATTCCTCCCCATTCGTGCTACATGCCCTGCCCATCTCATCCTCCTTGGCTTGATCACTCTAATGATGCTTGGCAAACAGTCCAAGTTATGAAGCTCCTCATTATGCATTTTTCTCCAACCTCCTGTCACTTCATATCTTTTTGGTACAAATATTCTCTTCCCACTTTGTTCTCAAACACCCTCAGTCTATGTTCCTCCCTTAACGTCAGAGACCAAGTTTCACACCTATACAGAACCACAGTCAAAATTATACTTTTATATATTCTAATTTTTATGTTTTTAGACAGCAGACAGGAAGACAAAAGGTTCTGGGCTGAATGGTAGCAAGCATTAGCCAAATTTGATTGCCTCTTAATTTTCTCCTGAATCAAATTTTGATTTGTTACCGTCATTTGCAAATATTTGAACTGTGGGGCATGTAACATGTAAAATCCCGAAGCTTCTCAAATGAACACACACCTAGTGACCACACTCAAAGGCATCACCTATCAGCTGGGACTGGTACAATAGGCCAGAAGTGGCCGCAGTACAAGGGACTTAAGGTCATTTTACACATATTTGTGACGTGTCAGTACCACGTCAGTTAAGTTTCAGTGACATCTGTAACGTCTCAGTGAAGGCTATACGCACTATCAGTATTGTTTCAGTAGTTCAAAGTCAGTGATTTTCGAGATGACAAAGTTTAAGGACATTGAATTGGCAGTGATTGCAATAATTCTGGATGAAGAGGAAAGGAAACAGCATGAGGTGAAAAAACGGAAGTGGGAACATGAGGCATGGGTGAACAGAGAACGTGATGGAAAATTCGGTACCCTGTATAAGGAACTAACTGATGGTAAGACGAAATTGTTTGGATATCTCAAAATGTCTGAAAATTGTTTTAACATATTTATGAGTAAAATAGAGGTTAATTTAAAACATCAAGACACCCACTGGAGAAAGGCTATAACACTGCTATAACATCTGCTTTCATTTCTTTTCCTATCATATTCCAAATATCAGTTTTGAAACTGCTGTTCATGTACTTTGGCTGTGATAAATCATTAAGAACAGGATAACTGCGAACCAGTTCAATAAGTCATTTGTCATTCATTTTTCTTCACAAATATGCACAAACTCCACACCACAATGCGTCCACGAAACAGGGAAAATATCGTTGGTGATGATACACAACATCACAGAACGGATACGGCACTGATACTGACGCCTACAATATGCACTGTGCCGGATATGTGGGGATGTGTCCATCAAGTTCAAAGAAACGATATGAATCATCACCAACACTGATGAAATTTCACAGAACTGACCAGACGCGGAACTGACACATCACGGATATGTGTAAACAGACCTTTAGTCCCACCCCACTAGCAATTAAAAAAAAAAGTCAAACATCTACAGGTTCAACACATGTTATATATATACACAACAGTAAAGATGATATCCTGTGGGAAGAAGGTAATGATGCAGTCACATAAACATATGAATACTGTTACATTTCTTTAACTCCAGAATGCAAACTGTGTGTAAAATGCACATATATCCAATTTCAACTGACATAAATGTTCTTTTTCTGGAAATTCAAATTTTAAGAGGGGGATCAATTTATACTTTGGTAAATATGTAAATGTGGTATTTGGTCAACAATACAAGTACATAAAACTGAACTTACCCGACGATGGCCTTCCTTTAAACATTTTGACATGTGGACAACTTCATGCGTAGAGAACATTTTTGCTCGGTGTGTGTTCTCACGACAGTGGTTACACAGAGCCTGGCCTGATAAAAATCATACAGCAAGCTTATAAAATTATTTCATGGCAATTTTTATTTATTTATAATTTATTACATAATCAAATACGCATAAATGAAATACCAAACACTTTGTTCACAAAAGTATATACTAAAAGAATTAGTCACTGGCACGGTGAATTTAAGGTCCTGATGGATTGGACTCTGCAGGTATTTATGTTATTCCCACCAAATGAATTTGTGTCTCACCATACAAATAAGCATTATATAAATATTTAACAAATACACAAAATTGGTCTCTGAAAATTAACTTTTCAAGAAAGTATTGAGGAAAAACAAGTATATATTTTGAGAATATGCAAGCTCACAGTTATATTCTCTTGCACTATTCTTTAAAATGAATGTGATGATCTCTTTATGTACCACAAAACATTATATATTTTATGATCAAAATTCTTTCATGACTTAGTGAAATGCAGGATAATGGGAACTGAAATTTATGCTCCTGGTTGTTGGTGGAGTTAGTGCTCGAGACTGGACTTGAGGCTGAAAAGGCAGCCACCTCCATACATGATGAAAACAGAATAATCATGCATGCACATGAATTTATGGATTCAATACTATGCACACAGCAGCCTGCCACTACACCCTATTCAAAGTCAGTTCTGTTCAATTCAGTCCACAACCTTACAATTTATGTCTCTTAAGACCCACTTTAATATTATCCTTTCACTTATGCCTAGGCTTCCTAAGTGATCTCCTTTTTGAGTTTATTATGCCTACAATTTTTACTGGAATTCTTATCCACGCCATCCGTACCATACATCATGCCCTTCTCAGCCTCCTTGATTTCATCACCTTAATAATGTTAGGTAATCAGGACAAATTACATAGATGCTTCTTCTTCATCCTCCTTTTACTTCCCCTCCCTAGGAGCTAAATATTTGCTTCCACATTTTGTTCTAAAACACCCTTAGTCTATATTCTTCAGTTATACAAAACAAATAAATTTATAGTTTAGTATATTTAAATGTTTATGTTTTTAGACAGAAAACAGGAAAGCAAAAGAGTGTAATCTGAATTGTATAGCATGCATTCCAAAAACTGAATAAGCTTTCAATTTCTTTGTGAATGCTAATTCTGATTTGTTACTGACATCCCAAAATAGCTGTCTTCATATCACAATTTTAACCTGTATTCTGCTACTGAGACAGGAAAATATACAAAGCTTTCTCTATGGCTATGTCTCAACGCTTGCAACAAACAGTTCCAGTATATTTCTTCATGGTACACATGTTCTCACTTATCAGTTAACGCAGAAGTTGAAGTGTACCATTTAATTTCAATTCCTCCTGACTTTATTGGGCCTTCCTAAGAGTGTATTATAAAGCGAAATTGAAAAGCAGTAGTTATAAAAGCATCTCGCTCTTGCAGACCATTCTGCACAGGAAATGTATCAGACAAATATCTGCCTATAATTATTTTATTATAAATTTTGATTAAACACATCATAATTAGGCTGTGAACTGCTTTTAAACAAATTAACTGCATATAATGAACAGAAAAGAAAAACAAAACAAAACCTTAAGCAATCATGCAATATGTCCTCCATCATTCCATTTGTCTTCACGTCACACCAAACAGCCAATTCTTGTAGCTAGTCAGAGTCTAAAAAGAACAAAAATATATAATTACTAAAATATAATATAAAAACAATAACTAAATTGCACACATCTACTACTGCAATCCATATGGCATAAACTGATTAAAGGCTTCACAACAGAACACCTAACCATTTTACCATACATATCAGCCTGTTGCAAGGCTTCTACCTAAACAAAGGACAACACAAACACAGAATAAACACATTCATACACCAAACAACCATGCCCTCAGTGGGATTCGAACCCATGGTCCCAGCATCCAAGCAAGCGGAGACAGTTCATGCCTTAGACTGTGTGGTTACCGTGACCGGCATTACTTAGTAAATACTATCTTTATTCTGTTACTGGTATGTTTGTGTACAACTAAGCATACAAACTACTATATGAAAATAAATGCTGTACATGATACTGTATTTCTCTACTGTAGGCCCTGGGTACCAAGCAAATTATAAAACAAAATTATATAAAACCATTACATAACAGAAGTGCCTGCTTCAGACACTGTGCTCGCAGAAAGTTGTCAAAATATATGGTACACAGGACCTTTGGTACCAAACTTGAAAATGCTTACATATACAGGGTTATTAAAAAAGAATGAACCGATTTCATGACGCATTGCTTCAGTTCTCAAGCATCGTCATGGAATGAGTCAGTGACCATTTGAAAGAGGAGTTATCTAAGTTGTGAATGGCTGCCACAGGGGCACTGAAGTCGTGTCGTTCTTCTGGCAACATTCAGTTGTTCGTTTACCCTCGGAATGGCAAGTCCTCAGCAAAAGGCGTTCTGCGTTCTCGAATTCGCGAAAACAAATTCGGTTGTCACGGTGCAACGTGCTTTTCGAAGGTGATTTGGCATTAATCCGCCCTGTCCTAAGAACATTCAACGGTGGTTTCGACAGTTTCAAAAAAGTGGGTGTCTGTGTAAGGGAAAAAGTCCAGGACGATCACGAGTCTCGGAGGAACACGTGGCGAGAATCTGTGCTGCATTTGAGAGGAGCCCGCGGAAGTCAACAAATCGAGCTTGCCATGAGCTTGTGATCCCTCAATCCACTGTCTGTGTGCGCTAACAGTACGTCTACATTTGAAACCATACAGACTGCAGCTCATTCAGGCACTTACCAATGACGACAAAAGGAAGCGGATGGAATTTTGTGATTCAATGTTGGAGATGATGGATGACGAAACCTTCATTTCATGTTTAATTTTTAGTGATGAAGCGACTTTTCACTTGAGCGGTACAGTCAATCGTCACAATGTGCTTATTTGGGGAACAGAGCACCCACATGAAACAGTTGAGCACGAAAGAGATTCCCCTAAGGTGAACGTCTTCTGTGCTGTATCTCAGGACAAGATTTATGGTCCCTTTTTCTTTGAAGGAAACACCGTTACAGGACAAACCTATCTCAATATGCTCCAAAACCGGCTCTTCACTTCACTGCAAGCAGATTCGCATGACTTCATTTTTCAACAAGATGGAGCACCGCCCCATTGGCACCTGATGGTCCGAGCTTTTTTAAATGAAAAAGTGCCCCAGCGATGGATTGGTTGGAAGGGGGCCCGAGACCTTGCTCTTTGTGCTTGGCCTGCAAGATCCCCAGACCTCACGGTGTGTGATTTCTTCTTGTGGGGATATGTAAAAGATCACGTTTATGTTCCACTGCTACCCACTAACCTCGATGACCTTAAACACTGAATAACAACAACGATTAACTCAGTACATGCTGATACGCGCCTGGGAGGAATTCTCTTATTGCATTATGTTGCCCATGCTGCAGGTGGGGGCCACACTGAACACTTGTAAGACAGGAAACAAAAGTTGATTGTGAGTAGAATACTTGTGACTTGGCTGGAGTATTGTATTACTTTCCTTTAATAAAATATTGCGTAATAAAATCGGTTCATTCTTTTTGAATAACCCTGTATGATGGATTGACAGGTAAGTAAAAGTAAATAATTTTCATCAGATTAGGTCCTAACAGATAATAATCTATTTCTAGTTATTTGTTGTTTACTTAAGAGTGTTGTTTGCAGTTCAGAGTCGACAGCATAGGGGTTAACAATCTAACCAGAATACGTAAACTAGAGGCAATTTCTTGAAATCTGGGTGGGCCATATCATTAAAACGGTTCAAAAAGTAGTAGTGTAACATATATATTCTCTTTTTGTCAAATTCACAAAAAGTTAAGCAAGTTGGAATATCATTTTGAAACATCAGGAACTCTGTATTAATCACATAAATACAAGTGACAGGAGAAGCTAATTACTTCTAAAATTAAACCAAATCAAACAAATGTACATCCACAAGAGCATGAGTAACCTACCACATGTTGAGCAGAAATACATTGAAGCTTTGTCACGTTTGTCACAATTGGCACAAGGTGGATTCTCTGCATTGGCCAGCTCAATAAGTTGTCGCATCAAAATGTCTACAGGTGGAAGGGAAGACCCTTCTTTTAGCACTGTTTGCTGCCTGGATAAGAAAACATGTAACTAAATTACACTGTGCTGCAAGCATTTCATTTCAATGCATATTACCTCATTCCATATTCTGATTTTCTTATATTCATAATACTGTGATCATACAAAAACTGTACTGAGATTTTAAAGAACTACCCAGCATTCCAAGTTCAAAACACAACTTCCTCCATTGCCATCTGCTTGTGCGTTCAGCCTTACTAATATTTCCAATACCTCATCAGAAAAATTACTCTATGGTATTCACCATACTTCCGTTTTCCAAACATATGTGACAGACATGAGAAGAATGAAGTGTGTACATTGCACCCTTCATTTATTTTAATTATAAATACCCTAGTCACAGACTATCAAAACTCTGTTATGAGTAAAGAAATAAAGGCAGATAATGATAAAGCAATTAATTTAAGTTTTTATTTTATTTACTTCAAAACATCTACAAGAAAAGACCCTATTATAAAGGGTTTTCACTATATGATATGGCCATGCAGCCAGAACTGAGTCCAAATATACTTTGCTTAACCTGGCTTAACAGCCAAGTAATGAAGACCATGTACCATTCATAACAAAGTTGAAAAGCAATACTGTGGGGAGGGAAGAATATAGTGCAATTTGCCTGCTGCTAACATAAAAATGTCTGGAAAACACATCTGGAATTTGTGACATGGGAATTCTATGATGCAACTCCAGGACCTCTGTAATGTCTCTATCATGCTTAACTGTGGAGGGGGGGGAAAGACACTTATCAAAGAATCTCCCACTTTTATGTTTTGGTACCTTCACATAATGCTGATGCTGAACAAGATATTATATATTTAGAGCACAATGATAAAATGTGTAAGCTATGTAAGTGTGTGCATGTGTGCATGCCTTTTATTGAACATGATATAAAATTTAAATAAAATTATACACCTGCCAAACTCACAAGAGTCTATCTATTTGTTTGTAAGGTAAAAAAGGTAAAGTTGTCCCTCTGCTTAATTAAGCACCATGCCAGAGGGAGTGGAATTATAGCTCCACCATTCTTCACCTTGAAACTAGATGGAGGTAAGCATTCAGCTTGATGTCCCAGCTTCTTTAATCCTGGGGGAAAAAGACCCCAGTGTCCACTGGATAAGAGGTTAGGTGGGTTCCAGAGCCGGCCTGGTTACTATGGAGAACAGACAAATCCTTGTACCAGTTGGGAATTCTAGCCTAGCCATCTAGCCCATAGCCTGCTGCTATACTGATTGAGCTATTCTGGCTCTACTATTTGTGTGTGAAGTTTTAAAAAGGAACAGTGACAAATAATGAGTTAAGACTTTATTATAAAACAGGCTGTATATCAGCTCGTATGATATCAGTGATGAAATAAAAAAGCATGTACTTGCGGAAAATAAATGTCTCCATGGCCTTAGGAAACACCTGAAATCCCAATTAATACCCAGGAAAACCAAAACTATGATGTATACAGTACTTATAAGATCAGTGCTATCTTATGCCTCTGAGACCTGGCCACTCTCAAAATCGGATGAAAGACTGTTAAGTATATTTGAAAGGAGGATCTTGAGATATATCTTTCGACCAGTGGAAGAAAATGGAATATGGAGGAAGAGGTGTAACCATGAGCTATACCAACTATTTAATGAACCAGACATTATTGGATTTATAAAGGTGAAAAGGCTTGAACGGGCTGGACACATAATACGTACCAGCAAGAATAGAACCATCAAGAAAATGCTTAACACCAAACCAGAAGGAAATAGGAGAGTGGGAAGACCAAGGTTAAGATGGGAAGAATGTGTGTGGCAGGACATAAAAATTTTGGGTATGAAGAACTGGAGGAATGTAGCATCGAATAGAGAAGAATGGCAAGCAATCCTGAGGAAGGCCTGAGCTCACAAAGGGCTGTCATGCCAGTGATGATGATGATGATGATGATGATGATGATATCAGCTCGTAAAATCTTGAATCAATGTAGATAAAATTTTAAAATCAGAAGAATAAAAGTCAGTTACATAAACTTGTCTACCCTTATACCACAGAAGAATGTTACATCATCAGACACATTATGGTGATCACCTCCAAGGACATTGTACAACATGCCATGATGAAAGGTATGATATTCGTTGTACTGTGGGCATTCCAACAGGCTGTGTAAAATCGTAAGGGCATACCACACTGTGTACAAACACGTGCCAAGTCATCTTATATAAAGTTTTTTGTATTGGTTTTTGTGCTCAGAACTATAAACAAACTCCAACATGTGGTACATGGGCTAGAAGAGTTCCCATTACATCAAATAACTATATATAAAACTTGAATTCAAATCGTTGTACACCTAGTTAACAGTCACTGTACTGCAAACGTGTGCCAACAGTTATTTTCTTTAGATGATAATACACTATCTTAATAACAAAAACAGTTTATCTCAGAGACACAATGTGGAACGATTTCATGGCTAGTCTCACCAAGAAAAGACTGGGTTATCATGGATACATTTATACGGCCTTCACACGAAATGCAACACATTTTAATGTCAGTTTCCTTTTCATTAATATATTTCCTCCATAATTTTTAGTGTCCTCTTGAAATATTTTTTTCCTATTCAGCAACATCATCTGTCTGGTAACCTTAGAGTAAGGAACTGGTTATGGCATTGGTGAAAACTAAGTACCACAAACAAAATTGTAAACATTCTATACTAAGCCGCATTAAACCTCTCACAGGTTTTACATAACAGAGAGAAGCAGTTGATTTCTCTTCAATTCAAAGCCATTAGCCAGAAGAGAAATACCCCCTTACACCGATATTACAGTAACACATATATTCGACTTAAAGTAAAGCAGTTTGGAAATTGATGGCCTAATTGCTGTAATTCCTCTTCAACAAACCTTTCTTAAACCAAAATTCTACTCCATACTTCAGTTGTGATAATACTTGGCCAAAGGGACTGACTGTATAGTATGTTAAGACTCATCAATTAGTGTTTACATATACCTTACATAAGTACTACTAAGATTTAGTTCTTCCAATCAGAATTCTTTCAGAATCATTGACATAGGAATTAATCCTTTCCTTAATTCATAAATAATGACTCTGTCATGCATATATACACTCTCACTCATGAAGCTGAGCCCTACTTAAGATACTGCCAATTGTGCAGCTACTCAAGAATTTCCAAGCATTTTATGGAACCTGAAGGTTCTTTCCCGTATTCACAAGAGCCCTACACTGACTCCTATCCTGAGCCAGATCTATCCAGTCCATACCATCCCATTCTATCTCTCTAAGATCCATCATAATATTGTCCACCCACCTACATCTTGGTCTTCCTAGTGGTCTCATTCCTTCTGGCTATCCCACCAATATCCTACACGAAATCCTCTTCTCCCCCATTCAAGCTACATGCCCTCCCATCTCATTCTCCTTGACATGCTGCATCCATACACATGTTATGCATAGTATTAGCACAAGGAATGTGATTCTACCAGTGGAAGAAAAAAAGACACTACATACCCACACAGTGGGCAGGTTAGCTTTCCATCGACATCTCTCCCTCGAAGACAGCGAGAGCAGAAGCTATGGTAACAACTGAGTAAACAAGGCTCTGAATAGTAATCATCACACAGGAAACACAGCAGAGGGTTACGCGGCTGAGACGCGTTTTCCCCTGTTGTCCCCTCGGCCACAGGGCCCTCTGAGGACTGGTATGCACCCCCTGACATCATCCAGAAAACTCCACCCAATCACCACGTGACACTCGAATCAACTATCTTCAGCGGAAATCATCTTACCATAAAACCACTGTAAGCAACCAAAAGAAAAGAATTACGGAAAAATACTTTAAAATGCCAACTTTAACTTGTGTATTAATAGCAATATCCTACCTCTGCATACTATACATAAAGTTTTATTCACATTTAGGTGTGAGTCTTATCATTGAAACTACCGCATCACTCATATAAGTAATAATAAAAATCTAAACAGGAACGTGACCTTTTACATTCACAAGCTTCACAAGGCCCTTGGCAAACCCCTGAGCAAGCACCAGATGATTATTGATGAAAATTAATTCACACTTGGTATCCATTTTATGTCTATATTTGGGTGCTGTTTCTACGGCTTCACTAGCGAAGTACGTTCATGTCTCGATGTCATATATCGCTAAATAAACTACCTCCACATATCGCCTCTGTTCTTAAATGGCTTTCAAGAAATGTCGTACTTCTTTTTACTTTATTTATTTCTTAAAAGTTCAGACAAAATTGAAACTGAAAGTGTATTCCTCCGCCATGTTCACCACATCTGCTCTGCACAGTTAACATTGTCGCATTCTTTCTGTAAAAGCTGATACCTTGGTATTATGCGGATGCCAGGTTTGTTTCATGTTTTAGTAAGGGATAAAACTAGTTACATTCGCAATAAAAAGGCAAATTGCTGTTATAGCGTTTACTAGTCCCGCCTATAATGAACCAACCAATCCCAACCTATACACCGAGAGAGAATCCTAGATAAATGTATAATTCTTAGTGGCCATTTTAAGTCGAAACGGTAATACCACATTTAGGTCAAAGGTCGAATGTCTCTTGTGACCCTACTTGACCCTTGAGAGATAACCATCTTTTCAATTTTTATGAGCTGCAAAATGCGTTCCATTTCTACATACTGATGAAAACCACTATATAAACAGGAATATTTTAAAAATTACCAGTTCAATAAATAATGTTCAAACAATTTCACAGAAAAGAGAGTGGAACTCTATAAAAACAATATTTTAATAAAACTTACAATTTTATACAAATATATTATCTAGTATAAGGGATTTAACAGTTGTTACATCGTTGGTCCCAAGTGCACAAACTATGCAGTGATCCTGCACACAATTACATGAACGTCCATTCAAAATGGGACTATAATTATTATATCATAAGACAACTCACAAAAATTATACCTCGAAGTACATACCATAAAATAATTATAAACATGTTCTGTGCATCTATAATAAGGAAAACTTGTTAAGCAATAACTGCTTCCCTTGTGCATCAAAGTTTATATACAGTGACACCACTGATGCTCAGCAAATAATTTAATGGGAATAATTAAGTGAAGGACTAAGAGTATGTTTCAGAAATAAAAACAGCTTAGTATTCAGTTGCTTCTAGCATCATAATACTGAATTAATTTTTATGTTTGTACAATCTATTATTATCAAATACAAAATGTAACAATTCACCTGGTAATTAAAACACAGAATTTGCTTAGAATACAGTGAGCTGTGAATGTATCAGCTTTCAAACTAGCGCAGTTCATTTAAACCATTTTTACTGCTGGTGGTAGAAATGAATATATCTTATTTATGAAAGTGGTCTAAGAAGTCAAACTTTGGAAATGTAAATACAGGGGAAAATTTGAGGAAAACAAGTCTTTATCTCCATCTTATATATCTTATAATCCTGTTTCAGTCAGTACAATACTATAATTCCTGAATTAAACTCTATTACATTTTGGGCAGAATTTTTTTAACAACCTATGAAACCCTGAATATGAAATACCTGTAATTGTACTGTCAGTGTTTTTAACATGTGAACAGACACATAACAGAAAGCTCAGAGAAAAGCAATTCAAAACACTAACAGTCTAAAATATAACACTGCAAGTGCATCACTAAGAATGTTGAAATATTGTATCGCTGTACTTTTAGGCTCTGCAAGTACTATATGAGACGGATCACATGTGATATTGTTTACTTAATCACAAGAAACTGATGCCATGAGATGAAGGAAGAAGTGTGCATTAAAAAGTATTTTGCCACAAATTCGTCCTCCTGGCATTATATACCTTCAAGCACAATATAAACAAACTCTTGATGTTGACTCTTCATACATAATATAGGCGAACTCTTGATGTTGACACCAAAAGGTCGTCATCAAAAAACTTAGTCTCAATAACAACATTCCCACTGTAAAACAAATGAAGAAATATTCTATAAATCAGTTATTGACAACAATCATCTTATTTTTTTACATGTGCAAATTTGCATTTAACACAGTTCCAGATAAGTTTTATTTACAGGAATCAAAATAAACATAGTAGAACTTGAGTTCAAAATTTCCATTGGAAGACAGAGGAGGATAACAACATGGATCTCAGGGATATAGATTGTGGGGATCAGAAATGAATGGAACTGACTACAGTGTGTCCAAAAACAAATGTTGGTATTAGTATCTTCTGTTTCTGTTATGAGTGTGAGGTTCATAAATGCATTTTTACCTACACAAATGACTACAGGTGACATCAAGATTTATTTTGAGGGTGGCAGCCATAAAATCTACTTACAAATTTATATTTAAGCAAAGAATAGTTTTCATACATAACCTTAGAACCTACTATGGGCAGAGCAATTTTTTTAAAGAAAATTAAAGTATTAATATTTGGCATATTTAATTCTTTTTTGTTTTTATATTTTTCCATAAATCTGGGCACGGGAGAGGGCAGTTGTCTGGCCCATGCCATGCTTTCTTTTTTCTTTTCTCGTTATTTGATGATGCTGTCAGTATCAAGACTATATAGCACCAGTGACAGAATGAGTAATAAATATTAAGCAGATGGTTAAATGAGAACTGACAAGGGAAACTGAAGTACTCAGAGAAACTCTACCCCAGTGCCATTTTGTATATCACAAACCTAACATGACCTCTCCTAGGGTTGACACCAGGCCACAAAGGTGGGTACACAGTGAATAACCACCTGTGATATGGCATAGCCCTGACCAGAGTTGATCTGGACATGGTGATGAAGAGAAAATGGCAAGCTAAGTATAAAGGGTTACCTCCCAGAAGATGGAACTCAGTCACCAATCCAGGAATCCCAAATCCAAGTTAAATAGATTTCATGTGATTCCATGCTGCATGAACTTTTTCATGAAAGTTGTACACAAAGGTGTTTCAAGGATGACCTGCATTTTATTGCTTTCTAAAAGGAATATACGTGCCAGAATTGCTGAACTCTCATGCCTTTTCAACTTATGTTCCTTTTACACTAACACATTCTGTTTCGTCATCCTGGCAAATTACTGATGTCATCAGCATGAAAGGTTTTAATCCTGACTGCATAGTCAGTTTGGGACACCAAGTTTGAGTTCATTATCAGTGTGAATTTCTGTCCTCCTAGATGCACCTTCATTAGTCCAAACAAATTAAAATCACTAGAGACTGAGTCAGGGTTGTAAGGAGGGTGGTTCATGATTTCCCAACCCAGTCCTGTCAATGCTGCCTTTGTCAAATCTGTCATAAGCGGACAAGCATTGTCATGCGGTAGTATGGTCTTCTTTCATAGCTCAGGTCTTTTCTTCCAAACTGCTTGGCGTGCATCACTGCGAAGCAAGCTACTGTAATATGCGCATTTATTGTTACACCATGTGGAAGAAAATCAACATGAATCACTACTTCTGAATCCTAAAACACAAACTTATTTTACCAATCATAAACACTTGCACATGGTAGGGTCTCCTTTCCATACTGTGCATTTAACCTATGAAGAACTTATGCTGGTTTCACTTTCTCTTTCATGATGAATTTCATGATACAGTGCTGTTCTACACTAGACATGACACGGTCTGACACCATCTTGTACTAACTCTAATGCGCAAAAGCAGGGCACATGGCCACCTGCTAGGCAGTGAGTGTACTGTTGCCACCAACTATCCATAAAAGAATTAATCTTCAGGAAAAAATAAAGTCCAGGTCAACCCAGAATCACCCTAAAAATTTTTGAAGATTCATTATACAAAGCATTTCAAGACCAAACACCATGTGGCACTAGTGGTACTGAGGTCATGATGACAATGATTTCTTTAAAAATATGTAAACAAGTTAAAAACTGTTAAGGGGCCACATGCACACACAATATCATAAGCTTATCTTATCTTAAAATACTAGTACAAGGGGAGGGGGAAAGCTAAAACAAGATACAAATACTTTACTCTGTTGGGGAAGATACAATTCAGGAGTATGAGGGATATAGCTTGTTGGTTTTAATACATACAGATGGGTTCATAAAATGTCATCACACAAATCTGAATATGAAGTTACAATGATATATAGCGACCTCCGTAGTCTAGAGGTAACATTCCCACCTCATGACTCGTAGTACGCGGGTTCAAATACCCGGCGGAGGTCGTCGAATTTTTAAGGGGGAAAAAATTCAGGGAACAAGTCCTCAGGGAGGGACTTTAAGCCGTGGGTCCCGTGTCGTAGCTTTACGGCACGTAAAAGAACCTCATACCTCCAAAGGAGGTCACTGAGCAAAATTGCGGACGATTCCCGCCCAACAGCAGTCTCTAATACCTCTGGTAGATGGGGGAAGCATTATAGATACCTCTCAGCTAGTAGAGCCGGTCTCGCTGGCTGGGCGGGACTGATGGTAAGCACCAGTACCGGTAGGATATAGAGTCTGGTAGAAATCATAGAGGGAAGTACAATGGACCAATACAGGTCTCAGTGCATGGGGAAACCCACCCTCTCCAATAACTAACTAACTAACTAACTAACTACAATGATATATCAAAGATCGCTGTGAGCATAACAATATGGTATGGTCATCCCGACATTATTTTCTATCTTCCCAACAACCACCTTCATAAAAGCTGAATATTTTTCCATATAACACTGAAGATCCTACAGTGAATGAGAAAAGTGTTATTGCACTCCCTTTGCACTGCCACCATGCTGATATTGTTGAACAAAGGAAATTAAGTCGGATGTTGTAGTGATTTCCAGAGGTATTACGTTCATATAAGTTTTCAGGGAATGTCAACACTTGAAACAGGAGACACATGAAATGTGTCTTTCATTCATCTCTCCTTTTTCAGTTACAGTTACAGTAGTTTCAGAACAACTCTAACCATGTTTGATGTTTAAAAGGAAGGAAGTCTAGCACAAACCATTCTACACTAGGAACATGCAATTCCAGGACTCGAAGAGTTCAGTGAGTGCTTTTGCATGTGTGGTAAGAGTTTTTACACCTTTACTTCTCTGCATAATTTACTTCAAATACCACACATTTATCCATCACTGTATATGTACAATTAATGAAGATGCAGACAAGACTTTCAAAGCCTACACCTTAAATAATGAACACGCTCCTCAGAATAACTCTTCTTCATAATAAGCATGACTCCATGTTAGGTGGGTTCCTGTCACCACGGCATGGCGCGTCCTTAGGTTGCAGATGGAGGAGACACTCTCCGAGTTTTGGAGGGAAGCTGCGAATATATTGAATAAGCAGTCGCAGACAGCTGACAAGGGGTGGCCCTCCAGCTTGGGGGTTGGGCGTGGGGCTACCAACTCCTCACCATAACAAATTATTATGTTATGAAAATGAACACACCTGGACGGATTCTTTGGATAAACGACCTAAGCTAATGAAAATGGATATGAGATTTGGTACCTGGAATGTTCAAAATTTGTATAGAGCAGGTTCGGTCAGGGCAGTGGCAGAAGAAATCTTAAAATATAAGTTAGATTTAGCAGGAGTACAGGAGGTCAGATGGGATGGAGGTGGCATCGCACCAACAGGAGCCTATACATTTTTCTATGGAAAAGGGAATGAAAATCATGAATTAGGTACAGGTTTTTTCACACATCAGAGAATCGTATCAGCAGTTAAGAGGGTAGAATTCGTTAGTGATAGGATATCATATATAACACTAAAAGGTCTCTGGTGTGATATCATTGTTATGAATGTTCACGCCCCAACAGAAGATAAAATTGATTACATAAAGGATAGATTCTATGAAAAACTAGAACATGTATTTGATAAATTCCCGAAGTACCCTATGAAAATTTTGTTAGGAGATTTCAATGTCAAAGTAGGGAGGGAAGACATTTTTAAACCAACAACTGGGAATGAGAGTCTGCATGAAATTAGTAATGAAATGGAATTAGAGTTGTAAACTTTGCAACATCAAAAAATCTTACTGTCAAAAGTACGATGTTCCAACATCGTAACATCCATAAATTTACTTGGATATCTCCTGATGGGAAGAGACACAATCAAATAGACCATATTTTGATAGATAGGAGACGGCACTCAAGTATACTTGATGTCCGATCATTCAGGGCAGCAGATTGTGATATTGACTACTACCTGGAGGTAGCAAAGGTTAAGGAAAGACTGGCAGTGAGCAAACAACACATAGAGTTCATATGGAGAGGTTCAATCTCAAGAAATTAAACGATGTAGAGGGTAAAGAACAATATTGTGCTGATGTTTCAAATAGGTTTGCGGCTTTGGAAAACTTGGAAACTGAGGTGGGTGTTAACAAAGCTTGGGAAACTATTAGAGGGAATTTAAAAATGTCTGCCAAAGAGAGTCTAGGTTATTATGAACTGAAGAAGCATAAGCCATGGTTTGATGAAGGATGCTCAAAATTATTAGATCAAAGACAGCAGGCCAAATTGCAATTGTTACAAGATCCAAGCGAGTTAAATGGGGATAATTTGAACAATATAAGACGTGAAACCAGCAGGAATTTCAGGAACAAAAAGAGGGAATATCTGAAAGACAAAATTGATGAGCTTGCAATGAACAGTAAGAACAAGAATATTAGAGACCTGTATAGAGGAATAAATGACTTTAAGAGGGGTTACCAGCCTAGCAGTAACTGAGTGAAGGATGAGAATGGTGATCTGCTTGCAGATTCCCACAGCATTTTGAAAAGGTGGAGGAACTACTTCTCTCAGTTATTGAATGTACATAAGGTCAGTGATGTTAGGCAGACAAAAATCAATAAAACTGAGCCGTTAATACCTTATCCTGGCCCTTCTGAGGTTGAAAGTGCTATTGCAAAATTGATACGGTCTAAATCTCCAGGTAGTGATCAAATTCCGGCAGAACTTATTCAAGCAGGAGGCGAAATATTACATTCTAAGATCCACAATCTAATTACTTCTATTTGGC